ATTGTGCAGTCACTTGACTTTATCCATGCAAATGTTGACCTATTTTCACTGAAGAAAACATCACAGAATTGCACAAACTTGGCACTGCGCACTCCCTTGACTTTGTCCACGTACACATCGATATATTTTCATTTAAAAAGTCAAAGGAGAACCCAATTCTAGGTAAAAGTATATTTACGGAACATTCAACCACTCAGGTTACCATAAATGAAACAACAACTTGGCGATAAATGAACCAGCTTTGCGATAATATAAGGGATACCTTCAGTCTACTCAAACCATATACTACATTATATACAGATACTCAAACTGCCCTCTAAAAGTTTGGAACAGCATGTTTTATCAAGCTCACCATTACAAAAATGTTAGTAATGGTGTGTGGTCAGGACTCAGGTCGGTGACCACTTGGGATCTTCTTTGCTCCGCCTGCTCACTTATCTCTTGTCCAGTGGTATGCATGCCCGGCCTGTGGAGATTTTAACTGGTTGGCTCATTCATAGATTACATATTTCTCCATTTTAGGAAACACCTCTACACCTAGGACCTGTGTAACTGATTTTCGGATCTATTTTTGATGCTATACATATTTCTTGCTCGAAAATCTCATACATGCCATTAGTCTGGGATAGCACATCAGTGTGGAAACCCGTTTTGCAAAATGCATTCAACTGAATCGCCTGTAAGATTTAAATTTTAAATTTTCCGTTTTTATACATGATAGTAATGAAGTTTAAGAAATATAAGCAAAAACAATAGCAACCACCTTTATTTTACAGAAATGAATAGTTATAAAGGAGTTGGAACAAAAATTGTAAGTTTTGATCATGAGTGTTTATCTTCAATTGTTATTACCGACTTCATTTACAATATCCAGGAGAAGCCGTTTGCCAATTTGTTGAAGTGGCAGGTAATACGATGGATGGAAATGGGGATGTCACAAGCGCATGCTGCTAGACATACAAATGTTTCTTGGAGTGTGGTCCACAACTATGGAATCAGTTTGAATCCGAGGATGCTGTGTCTAGAAGACATGATCCAAGCAGACTAAAAGTTACAACATTTTCGGGAGACTGTTATTGTCATGCATTACTTCTGCGTGGGTTCTGGATACATATTTACTTCTTAATGTAGACGTGAACGTAATGTGGGCATTTCATGTAGCAGACATTTTATAAAACAAATAGTTAACACAAAAAGAGAACCATGTTTGTCATTACACTGGTATACAGCGAGTTGCTTTCGTTACTATTAGTCTCTTCTCTTCTAATGTAAGTCACGTGAGAGAGAGGCATTGCATGCCGTACAGTTAAACTGCACATGCGTTCATTGCGTCTTTTAATGACCTGTCAAATCCACACAAACATTTCTTAAAACAAAAAAACTAACATTCATGAAATTTTCGAGCTTAATTTACCAATTCTTACCATTTTAAATTAAAGTTACTTTAACATATATTCAGTAATCTTAATCATTTAAAAGCTCAGAATTGCACAAAAATGCCATTGTGCACTCCCTTTATCCATGCACACATCAACCTACAAAAAAAAAAAAAAAAAAAAAAACAGAGAATTGCACAAACTAAGCTTTGCGCACTCCCTTCGAGTTTGTCCATGTACACATTGATATATTTTCACTTAAAAAGTCAAAGGAGCACCCATTTCTACAGGAGAGGCAAACAAAAAATACATAATCTCAATAAACTACATTTTAAACCAAACAATAAAATAACATAAAAAAGGAAAAACTTGTTCTGCATTTAAGCACTTCACAAAGCAAATACCCACTTACCTTATTTAGAAATGCTTCTGTCTTCAGTCTGTGGCACACAAAATTCCTTAACAGTATCTAAAAACTTCCTAAAATTATCTGAAATAGAATCCGTATATCAGCGTTGCCACATAAATTCACAAAAATAAGAGTAAAAAATATCCTACGTATTCCGGACTATCTGGAAACTGCCTACTAAGTAAATCTTCATTTAACACCAGTGAATTAATGAACTTTTCCCCTTTCGTTCCAAATCGTACTGAAACTTCAAATTAATTTTACTACATTTAGCCATTCTACAGTCTAAACAATGAAATAAGCAATGTACTTCTTAACCACACACACCACAAAAGCCCATACAAAACATCCCATGATTCAAAATTTCCCGGAAAAATGCAAATGATTACGTCATAATAGGGTTTCCATAACATTAAACTACTCAGGTTACTATAAATGAAACAATAACTTCGCAATAATATGAGCGGTACCCTAAAGTCAACTCTAACCGCAATTGTCACATAAACAAGACAATACAAATCAATCACTAAAATTAAACATAATACTTCAGGAAAACCTGGCTAAATAATTAAACATATTATATAACGTTTGGAAAAAATACGAAAGTTTAGCATTTTAGATCTTTTTTTTTAAAAAAAATCAAACTAAATAGTCAAAATGTCTCTTAGTTACAAAAGTTATCGACTTTCAGTCAACCTTCACTCAATGGAAAATATAATCAGTCAATTAAGTCACGTCATCAATAAACTCAGCATAGTCTTTTAATAGTCTACACGTACCTAGCATAGTGTACACACGTTACCGTTCCATTTTGTCGACACACAAATTACTGGATACACATATTCACTTTCCGATTCTACGATTAGCTTTAGCTGTAATGAATGTGAAAAAAAAAAAACATTGACTTGTGTGTAAATGAAGGTTTACTCAGTAATCATTATAAGTATCCTGCTTGTACTAAGGAAATGTAAATGGTCAAATGTAAAGATCATTCAGATGGCTTTGAGTGAGTTTGTCACAAGAAAGGTTCAAATGCTCACTACATAAAGCATTCCATTAGAAAGGGATTATGGTTTGAGGAAAGTCATTTAAGTATCCCACATCCATGTAAAAGTAATACATTGAGATTTTGATTTTTACATGGATGTGGTTGTACGAAGCTAATACTAAAATGATTAAACTGAATTAAATCTGATTTTTATTTTTGTGAACTTATGTGGTGATGACAGTATACAGATTCTAGGTCAGATAATTTTAGAGAGTTTTCGGATGCATTAAGGAATTCTGTTTGCCATACACGGAAGACAGCAATTTCTAAATAAGGTCAATATTTCCTTTTTGTACTGCGTAGATTAGATAACATGTATTTCTTTGTTTGATTTAAATACAATTTATCAAGATTAAATATTTTGTTTTAATTATGTTTTGGATGCTATTTTACTGGGGAGGGCATCGGATGTAAACAGGAATGTCGCTAAAAATTCGCCAAGGGTACCCTGAAATATATTTTTACCATTCACCAATATGCCACTGCTCTTGGTCTTGGATTTCTTCTGATGAATCACAATGTGCGACTCCATCGAACTCGGGTTGTTGAAGAATATCCGGTTAATCTTCGGATTATGGTAACTTGGCGATTTTTTGGCGACCAACCCTGCTACAGCAGCAACCTGCTAGTTTTTTTTTTTTTTTTGATGCCATTTTGTTTTTACGAAGTAAAGGCATTTTTTTCCCCCTCAACATTTTTTTCCAACAATCTGCTAGCCGAATTACGCTTATGCTAGAACTTTTATGGAACAAAAGTGCTTAATCATGATGAAGATTAGGTGCGAAATTGGGAGAAAGTGCAGAATCGCCCACTGCTTGCCGCGTTTTTAAGAATTGCACATACACGGTATCATCCATGTACACGTCAACCTATTTTTCACTTAAAAAAACATCCCAGAATTGCACAAAAATAGCATTACGCACACTCTTGACTTTATCTATGTACACTGCTAAAGTCCTAGCTAGTAACCTTTATCGCCTTACCAAAATGTCGCCAAACTACCTGTTACCACATTCCAAAGATTAGCCGAATATCTTGAGGGTCACAGTATGGAGCAGATGGAATAGCCAGCTTAATCCCCAGATCTGAATCCAATAGAGCAGCTTTGGGACTACCTTGGGAGACAAATTGCTTTTTAAGTCCTCCTCCAAGGTGGTTAGATGAGTTCGAACAAGGATTACTCCATTGTCTGGTCATTGCTACCCATTTCACTGACTGACAACATTGAACGGTTTAGCCAACAATACATTGCAGCTAGCTGTGGCCACACTCCTCATTAGAACCTATATTTGGTGATGCACTGATCCTCAAAGGCTGGATTTCTCAACCAAGAATGCAATTTTTTGTTGTAATTCCTGTTTGTGTTGAACTTTAGATACATTCTATGTCGGATTCATTAAAGAACTATTCTATGTCCGATTCATGTTTAGTGAAAATGTCGTCTAAATTTCTTGTTTCTATGTTGCTTTATTCTCAAATAATATACAAAAAACAAGCTGTTCCTTGAGTTTTAAAGGGCAGTGTATATATATTTCTTTAGTCCTATTAAACTTTTCGGTAAAAGCTTACAGTCCGGTGACCCTTATTTTTTGGCGATTCTTTTTTGATGCCAGGAATGCACAATTTCAAGATGGCTGCTACACAAAACCAAAATAAGAAGTCAAAGAATTGCACAAACTCTGTGTCCATGTACACATCGATCTGTTTTCACTTAAAAAAACATCCTAGAATTGCACAAACTAGGCATTGTGCATTGCCTTAAATTTGTCCATGTACACATCAATCTATTTTCATTTAGACAAAATCAGGAAGCTAAAACAAAGTTAAAACTATCAAGGTAACCAGAAGTGAGGTTTCATCGCCAAAATAAAAAAATTGCCGCTAATCGAAGGGGCACCCAATTCTACACTAGAGCCAACGTTTTCCATGAGACACAAAAACTTAAATAATCAATTGCAATAAAAATTCTACATCAAATATTACAAACAAAATTTACAAGTATACCTACTGAAACTGAAAAGTTCGTATTTTGCTACTTTACGGTAATCAAGTAAATGAATTTTAATCAAAATTTTTTGCACATACACGGATGGGAAATTGAAATAAATCTATACATCTTTTTAGTTAACTACCGTATTTCTTATTACATGCAAATAAATTAAATTACCTAGATAACGTGTTCACAAATTCACTGCACAAAACACAGCGTAATAGTACAACTCCTATCAGTATCACTTGTTAGATGACGCTATTCGTAGGCAAGGTCCGTAGAAAGAACAGGTTAGCTCACTTGGGGTAAACAAACGAAATGCGTTCTCGCTGTCTATTGGCTGTGACGTCACTGAAGTTTTCTCTCCTCAGATCAGCATAGATTTTTGCATTGATTTAAGCTGAATGTAAGCTTGTGCGCGACTGTGGAAACTCATTTGTTTTTTTTTTTTTTTTTTTTTTTCTTTTTATCCTCTCAAATATAATTAAATTTATGTATTATAATGGTTGGTACGCACTGCGCGATTGCATTATGCTCCAATAATGCAGGCAAAATAAAAAATAATCAGCAAAATGTATTATTTCATAGGTATAGAAACTTATAATGTTTTTTGATTTGATGCAAGTTATTTTGAATTTTCGGGTTACTTAAATTAATTTATTCATTAATATATATAGAAACTTCTATGCATTTTTCAGGTGTATTTAAATGCCAACGGTTTTGAAATATTCTTGTGAATTGTGACAGATGCATATAAATACGCTTAAATAGTTTTAAATTATGTGTACGTAGCTCACTGCATTAACTAACTCGTGTTACACATGGAAAAATGGCAATACAACCAGCCTTTTCTCCAGGAATTGAAGTCAAACCACCAGTGTTCAGCTGAATGGGCCTTTGTCAATTACTTAGAATTTAAGCCTATTGTACTGTTAATATGGTACATGCCAGAAGTACAATATCATTAATACACGGGGTACATGTAAGCAATAAGAAGGACTAACAACACCGCAGAGTACAGAAAGCAACATATTAGAAGTCAACAATTCATTTGGCGAGCAAATTAAGTTGTATTATTATACATAAGGCTATCAGTTCTGGATAATTTAGTTACAGTAATTTTGCAAAGATAGTAAAGCAGTTCCTTCAGCAATATTAATTTTCTAATTATTAAGGCTTTTTTTCTTTCATATTATTTGAAAACGGAGTAATACACAGCATGCATTTAAATGCAATCAAAATTTAGGAAATGTATGATTTAAGAATATAGAAACGTTTAACAAACAAATATGCTAAAATTCTTGTAAAATATAAAATTTCATTTTCTATCTGTACTTATAATTTGTTATGATTTGTATTATGAATGAATAAAATAACGTAAGCAAATATTTTATTTATTATTGTTTTAAATTTTGCATTCCATTACTATGTAGTGCACCATGATATATGCCATACAAAATTTCATTTATAAAATTAATATCCATATTTACTAAGATTTTGTTGAATGTAGTGTTTAAAATTTAGTACCAATTTTGACTTTTGCATTTAATTATATAAATTTACCTGCAGAATTATATTTTGCTAGTATCTACGAATGTGATCATTATGTCTGTGGGGATATTGTACTCAGGTCATCATATTAAATAAACATCCACCCTTTTTTCATGTGTTCACAGAAAGTACGATGACAGTCAAATGACGTTAAGATAAACTGCATAATATTTTTATGAGTGCATTTATCTGTGTATGAATAATATTTTTCCCACAGCTAAACTGATAACTCTAATTTTTTTTATTCATAGAATGGTTAAACTGTATATGCTAAATGAAATGTAATATTTAAGTTATTATATAAACATATTTCTTTTTTGATACCAAAACAAACACATACAGCATTTAGACCTATTAATATCTGCCCACCAGCGGCCGAGCAGTAAAGTCGCTGAACACTGGTAGTTCGGTCCGAGGTTCGAATCCCGTGGACGGGCTGGCTGCATGGGCGTTTTCGTGGTTTTTCCCATGTCTAACGTGTATACGAGCCAGTTTCCTTTAGAAAGTCTTGCACGAAGGCATCCCTCCCTTCAGGCGCATAGCCCTCGAGGCTTTGCCATAATCACACACACCACACCACCTATTAATATCTAGGACTTACTTCTCTGAAATAAAAAATGAGGATGACAATCCAGAAAATGACTACATGTTTCATTTCGTTCTTATATTTATAAATTAAACAATACATAAGTGAAATAAATATAGAAACCTAAAAGATAAAATTATAAATATACAATATTAATAACAAAACATAATAGAGGATATGCAACTATTCTTTTAATATCTTTTAACTCATTATTTGTATATAAAAATTTAACATCTTCTATCTGAATACTTTATGAACATTTTTATTTTTTATTTTTGCTAAAAAGTAAAATTCAAAGGATTCAAAGAATTAAGATTTAAATTAATAATTAAGTCTCCAATTTTTATATAGAATTACATAATGCAGCTGCTGATTCCTTTCAGTTATAGCTTGAATAGTTCATTTGTTTATGTTTCTTGTTGCTGCTTTACATCAAGAAATTACAAACAAGTTTTAGAATCTAGCGACTTATAATTTTATGCAATTTCTTTTTTTTTAATCTATTAAAATTAATCATATATTACAGGAAAAGCTCATGCGAGTTCATCTAGAAGAAAAAAAAAAAAAAAGAAAGAAAGAAAACCCACAAGTAAACTAAGATTTCTAAATGAAACAAGTACTGCGGAAACAATTGGACCGAAAGTAGGCTTTAGCAAAATAAAATTAATTTAAATTTCAGCCAAATTAGATTCCAAACATTAGGGACAAGTTTGTGCAGCTTTATAGAATAAATATTCTTAATTTGAATTTCTTCTATATCGCTACACTCAGGGCTTAATTTCTAAAATTAGAAGTGCAGGAAACCTATGGAAGACCGTTAGTAAAGAGGAACAAGAGTAAATAAATAAATAAAATGACTATTAAAATCATTTATCATTTAAAAATTAAATAGTTAATTATTATCAATTAATAAAAAATTATTTAATTAATATTTATTAATTATTATCTAACCATTAATTAATAATTTATTATTATTTATTAAAATAATTCAATAAAATGTAAAGAGGTAAATTATCATTTAATAAGCGATTTTTAATATAATTTTTTTATTGCTGCTAAAATAAAATTTTTTAGATTAAATTCTACTGAAATTGTAGTTCCGCTAATTACATAAAAGAAGTGCCGGAGCCTTCTATGTAGGGCTCCGATGCGCTTCGGCTAGAATTATCATTTGTCCCATGAAATGAAAGGTACCGGAGCCGGCACAATTTAAGCTCTGACTACACTACATATTTTCCAGTTCTTGTGAAATGTGGGTTTTCAGTCTGTTGAAGCTAAAATGAGTAACGTTATAAACAGCTGAATCTTGAATAGCAAATTCTGTAAGGAAGTTTGGAAGATTTTTGGTGAAACAATAAATTACTGAGGGAACTTTTCGTAATTAAAACTTATTCTATACAGTAAAGAATATTTTAGGTAGTTAAGTTTCAACTCCAAATATTAGAATTTTTACTTTCTCGATGAAAAACAGAAAATATTTCAAAAGCAAATACGAAACTACTATTAGGAGATGCTACAGCGAACTTCAGTGACGTCACAGCCGAACGAGTCGCTGGCTTTTCGTTTGTTTACTCCAAGTGAGCTAACCTGTTCTTTCTACGGACCTTGATTCGTAGGAATTACTCAATATGTTATGCTTCCAGGCATAAAAATAGAATAAAATGTATGCTTCCATTATTTATTTAAAATTTTTTTTATATTTAATACATAAACATTTACAGGCACATCTAAATTTGAAGTGCTCCTATTATTTTCATGTATCTCGGGCTCATCTATAACTTCATTCTCATAGTTGTTTTGTATTGCAAACTCTTCCTGATTAGTTCCTTTAAAAAGGTCTCTTCTTCTGTTCCTTTCTACAATTCTTCCATCTGTTCTTATAATCCTATATGAACGTGGTCTTTCTGCTTCTTCTATAATTTTCCCTCTTTCATTTTAATGCGTATAAGATTACAGCCATATCAGTTTGAGATAAAATATAAACCAGGAAAAGAACTTTTTATAGCGGATGCATTATCAAGATCATTCACACTGATAAAGGATCTGATTTCTTTGAAGGAGAAATAGAAGCTCATGTTGGATTAGTTGTAGAATGTATATACCAATGTCTAATGGTAAAATGGAAGTTTTTCAACTGGAAACAGAAAAAGATGAAGAACTACAAGTTTTAAGAAAATTAATTAAAACTGGATGGCCAGATGAAAAATGTATGGTTCCAGAACTGGCAAAACCATATTTTAACTTCAGAGAAGAACTATCAGAAGCAAATGGATTAATATTTAAAAATTCCTGTGTTGTTGTACCAAGAAGTTTACGAAAAGATATGTTAAGCAGAATTCATTATGGTCATTTAGGAGTAGTAAAATGCAAGATCAAAGCAAGAGAAATATATTGGCCAGGAATGTCCAAAGAAATTGAAGATTTTGGTACTGAATTGTCAGACATGTTTAAGTTTACAAAAAGCTAATACTAAAGAACCAATGATATCTAAAGAAATACCTAATGGTCCATGGGAAGTATTGGGAACAGACCTCTTTTACTTTCAGGAAGGATTATCTAATAGTTATAGATTATTTAGCAAATATGTTGAAATTGGACATTTGGAAGATTTGTCAAGTGTAGCAGTGATAAAGCAATTGAAATCAATTTTTGCAAGACATGGTATTCCGAAAATAGTATATTCGGATAATGGTCCACAATATAATTGCAGGAAATATAAAGATTTTGCAAGAAGATGGAATTTTGAAACCAGAACTTCAAGTCCAAAATACCCACAGTCTAATGGAATGGTTGAAAGACATATTCAAACTGTCAGCGAATGTTAGAAAAAGCTGTAGTTGACAACAAGGATCCATATTTAGTTTTACTGGAATATCGTAACTCTCCTATTTCAGATGAATTAAGTCACCTTCAGAATTGATGTTTGGAAGAAAAGTAAATTGATTGATGCCTATAAAAGAGAATTTTGTCCAAGCTAAACGATATTGAAGACCATAAACAACATTTACTGAAAAGACAAACCTTACAAAAAAAGTTATTATGATAGGAATGCAAGACCGTTAAAACGACTGATAACAGGAGATCATGTTTGCATAAAAGAGAAAGGGACAAAACTTAAATGAAAGAGGGAAAATTATAGAAGAAGCAAAAAGACCACGTTCATATAGGATTATAAGAACAGATGGAAGAATTGTAGA